TTCAGCATTTGCTTTATGCTTCCGCTGAAGGTGGGTGGTCAAATCTCAGTTCGGCTGTTGCTATTTCGTTCTGGATAGAAACCCCCGGAGAAGGTCTTTGGGGGTGTCCCTGTTTCAACACACCCAAACCGAATCCAACCGAATCCAACCATTCCCACACGGACTGTGACCCGCACCGCTGCAGAAAGAGGAGGATCAAGAACCCCACTAACAGGGCCAGCCTGGCAGATCCCCATCAATCCGTTGCCACGCCCATCCGAAGTAATCCATATACAGACCGCAGAACAGCAGATTTCTTGTGACCAAAGCGCCAGGGCGCAAGGCTGGAGTTGTGTCACCACGATGCTGTGTATAGTGGGATCTTCTCTATCTGTCCCATGCACCTTTGAAAACTCCACATGCTCCACACGTCATGCTGTAAGCATCAACAAAAGTATGCATAACAAATTGACTGTGGGTGATGCGTGCTGAAGTGTCTAAAAAAGAGGGTGTCCTGACTGTTGATCGAACAATTCATTACCATATGGTCACAGAGGTCCGAATTTGGTATGAATTGCGTGCTGTTGCAGTCTCCCCATAGTTGGGTATAGGTCAAAATTCACTTCTCATGCGTTTGGTGCGTTTTGAATCGTTATGGTGCGTTTGGATCCTAGCTTCTGGTGGAGACCATTCCATGTTCTGTTTCCCCCCAAAACGAAAGCACCCAGAACGGCGTCTCGACGCGCACAGTTCCACACCGCACACCCCGCGCATGAAACCCACCCCGGTTCCACTCGCACGCGACGGACCAGGCGAGGCGCACCCGACAAAGACCAGGAGCGGCATCCAGCGTCCTTGCCCGGCGGCGCGTACGGTCTCCTGTTCAGCGGCGTTTGCGGCGCGAGGCCGCGGATGAGGCCGTTGGACGCATTGGGCCGTTGGGACGAACGACGGCAGAACGACAAGGACGTCGCAGGTGTTTTACTTTTTTGGGGGGGGGTGCGATGTGTCTGCCATGGATGGTTTATCGTTTGCAAAGCTGGTACCTCTGATATGAGGATGATTGAGGATGGGTGGCCATCTTGCTTTGGCATGTGTTGATATGCCTTGAATGGATCTAGGGAGGCAGGGGGATGAACACACATCCGTCTGAAGTAGTTAGAAACTCATGCCAACCATTGAACAAGGGATCACTCACTATTGGCAAACCTACTGAAGCCCTACTGCAACAGTGGAAGCAACACTTGACCTCATTTCAGGAGTGAATGCAATGCCGCAAAGTCACAAGATTCATAGTGGTGCACAAGATGCAGCATGCACAGTGACAATGACCTTTGGATCGTGCCATATTGAACTTAGCACTCATCCCAAACGGTTATCAGGAGTTCCGTAATGTGTCCAAGGTGCAGACAAGGTAGATGCTGCTTGGTCGTTGTCTGTGTGTTTGGCAAGTTGCGGCAAGAGATTGTTATTTACATCAAAAGTTCTGTGCGAGTGAGTAAACCCTACTATTACATTTTATATATAACTCTGCTTACAAGTTGACCAAGCAAACCACACTTCTGTGCTCGTACTCGCAATGCAGGACGGTCATACTAGCCATGACTTCGGCCACGCTCCTCTAGCCATGACTTCGGCCACTCCAAGCGCCAAGCCTTCGTGGCATTGCTCTCCACCTGCACCATCGAGGCGGCAAGCTTGATCGAGGCGGCAGGCTTGATCGTGTCTCGTTCGGCTTGTTCGGGCGAAAGCGGAGATTCCGGTGAAACTGTTGCAACGTGTTCTTAGATTGCTCGCGTCTGATCCCTCCTGGACTTCTGGAAATTATGAGCCTCTTATTCACAGCAACTGTCAGAAGTGATGAGTACAGCTCCCGAAAGTCCAGGTACTGTGCGCTAGTAGAGTAGAGTACGTTGCTCCTGCAACTGCGGTGTCTGTCGCTCCACCTGAATTTGGATCGGCATGGACAGTGGTCCAACCCATCTGTGTCCAAGGACAGTGGGTCAGGCGTTCCCAACCGTTCGTACAGGTTGGGTGGTCGCCAATGAGAAGATTGAAACCTTTTGAGCCCAGGTGGTCTTAGAACATGCTTCTGCCAGTTGAAAGATTACACCTTTTCTTTGGTCTAGGGGGTTCAGTCCACTGTGTTTCTGCACCCAAAGTGTCGATCGGATCGCTTGAGAGGCTGGATCGCGGTCCACAATCCGGTCCGGTGGATGTGATGCCATCAGTGGCTGGAAGTGACGACCATAGAAACCACCTCCACCCTAGTAGCTTCATGGCTTCCTTAGTAGTGATGGCCTCCAAGCTAATAGCGATGGCCTCCACCAATATATGCTTCTTGTTACAACAACCAACCAATGTGTGCGAAATCAGTGTTGAAGGGATGCGAAGATGGCCCATCTGGTGCGAATGACCAGTTGACCAGCATCCCCCATCCAAGGACCTGCACACCTTCGAATGGACGCGTGACCTGCACACTGCACACCCTTCGCCTCCAAGGTTTGGTGTCCGACCGTTTGTGATGCGATCCTCCCAACCTGCCGTGGATGTGATCCTCGTCGAAGGACGTGATCCAAAAGTGTATCGAGTGCTACGGCTGATTGGACACATTTTGACACACCCCAAGACAGCGAACATCAGCGAACATTGAAGGTCCCAAACGATTTATTCAACCTGAACTGAACCAGTGAGGGGCGTTGAAGAAAGTGGACCCCTGGAAGACTAGTCTCCTCAAGTGACTCATTCTGGGTTTTCCGGGGTGTAAATGCAAACGCAGCATATATAAAGGCAAATCACTCTAAATCAAATTGATGCAAACAAAACTTGCATTCCCCGAAACTCTAGATGCCACCGACGTAGCTACAAGATGCTACAAGAACATCCTCATCCTACCATATCCTACCGAGTACGTGCACCGTCTCATCCATTCTTCTTCTCAGAGAGGCTTGGCGCCTGCAAAAGCTTCAAGGTCTTGGAATCCTCCTCGATGGACACATCAAAGGCCTGAAAACGGGGCGCTTCTCACATTGGAAGGGATATGAATGTGATGTGTGCCGCCTTCAAATCTATGCCCGCACGACCAATGGATGTCCATCCATTTTCTGCGTGTGGAGGTGGAGGGCGTTTCTCAGTCCAGTTAATCCTCCATGTTTGGTCTAAAGAAATTCGTCACCAAGGCTCTTCACCCCGGCCCGGGCGGCCGACGCCACGACCATGGACCCTGTCGAGGAAAACACCGGTGTTCCTTGCAATACAAAAGCCCTCCGGGCGCCCCAGTGCTCCGCCCAGAAACTGACGTCTACTTCAGCGAGGGGCCAGTGTTTCAAGGGGTTCGGCCACAGAGTTCTCCAACCTTGTACAGGTCATCGTCGGGAGCGGCATGGTCGCACCTCTAGGTGGTTGGAGTCTACATGTCAGCTAGCCAGCTCAGCTCAGTTGTCTGTCTCTGAAACCACGACTCCTCAACCAAAAAAACAGAGGTCTGGCTGGGAGTGTTCCCTTTTTTGAGGTCCCGATTCTGATTCGTGCCAGTCACAGTCTTTCAACTGAGCTCCTCACAACTCGTCAGCAAGAGTGAGCCCAAGGATCGAGGGCACATGGAAAATCCACCTGAGAGAAATTGGTGACACATGGAATCACATGGATGTGTATTTTAACGGGGAGACATCCTGTTCTCAAAGGGTGTTGGCCTGTTCCCCTTCTTCCAGAGAGTCTTTGGAGGTCTCTCTGAGTCTCTCTATATTATTTTTTGAACATCCACATACGGATGTTGGATGCAATATGTTGAATTACTTTCAAGAATGTGTTGCATGGCGTGATGATCTCTTGGATGAAAGGCCCCCCGCTGTTGCCCAAGTGTGTCAATAACACAGTACTCAAATCAACAAGGGTTGTCAGTAAGGGTGGTTAGATCTTGGGCTGTTCGACTACTTCTGAGTGGTTCTTTTTAGCCCAGTTGCCCAAGCAAGTCGGACTGTTGTGGGAGATCATATACAGTCTATAGATATCTACAGTAGTCGTCCTCCAAGAAGGAAAGTCCATCCTCACCCAGGTACAGGTGCATTGGGGATATTCTATTCCTATCCTTGCGGGATGTCCCTATATAGTGGTACTTCCGGAAAGGTGTTATGCGAATAACTTTCGCTCCCTTGCACTGTAAGGTTGGTGCTCCTGGTGACTTCTGGAGTCTTTTGTGCTCTTTTTGTGGTGTTTCCAGTGTAGTTTGGCGACAATTCTAGATGATTTGTTGTCGGAGTCTTTCCTGCGCAAGCGCGTCCCTCACTCGCCTCATTGAGCAGCCGATTCGACCTGGGATCCACCAAACCATGGATCACGAAGGCTTGATGTACCAAGGTGGACAACTGGTTTCCTCACGGGGTCGGAAGTTGGACAGCTCGGGTGCAGCCTCGCCAAGACCACACCGTGCCCTTTCAAAAATACCAAGGACCACAAGATCCTCAGATCCACTAGTCACATGATCTCATGTCTTCGTGCTTCGGACCCGACCTCCGGCCAATCCCCACATCCATCTCTCTGAGCTTCCCGGCCAATCCGAGCCGTCCTCACCGTCCCCCCCGGTCACCGCATGCGAAGTCTCGGTCAGACCTGGCCGGTCACCGGGGCGAGGCCTGGCGGAGCCTTTGGGGAGGGACCTCCCAAGGCCTGGCGCCTTCTGTTTTGGGCCGGGCACGGAGTGCTACACCATGTGTAGCATGGTGCAAGCACCGTGTGTGCTCACGTTCTCTTTCAATCCATGATTCGGGTTTAGGAACCGCAAGCGAACGAAGCAAGAAGCTCGGAGATCGAACGGTCACCGCAAAGTGACAGGGGAACAGACTTGGTGGCCGGACTGCAACACCCGCAACGTCGGGGCTGCAAAGACTAGAGCGCGTTTCACAGAGGACTTGAGCAAAAGCAGACAGATGCGTCGACAGATGCAGACAGTTCATTCTATGCATGACACGGTGTTCCAAAACAAAAGAAGACCGTCCCGCATCCGGGAGTTCATCCCGGACCCTATCCACGTCCTGAAGAGGTGTTTGGACTTCCATGTCCAAAGCTGACCATGCCAGGCTTTGCTGACCTTGGCTCTATGAAATCACCGGCATATGCTTTGCATCTGCTCTTTTCACAGCTGATCTGTAAGACGTGCCACGGGAGCCACTTCAGCTTTGGCCTCCTTGGGCCAAAAAGGATTTGGCTCTCATCGCTTCAAACACAGCTTGAGGGTGGACAGCGGGTTACAGCGTCCACATGCGCACCGCTTCAAAGAGAGTGTCACATGAGTACACATGACCGGGACAGCGTGAGGGTGATCCTCCGCGTAAAACTCTCTCTTTCTTTGTTCGTCATTTGGCCATTCCAAGCTTTACGAGAGAAGCGCCAGGTGCGAAACTCTTTCAGCACATGGAAATGCGTTTGCATCGTGGGCTCCCGGTCAAAGCAACAAAACTCCACCTCAAATGGAACCTCCTCCTCTTTCATGATCGACTGTACCAGGTCCAATCCTAATTCCTCCGAAGTCGCAGCCTCTTCCTCCTCCGGGTATTCGAAGCCATAAGACTCCACTGCAAGTTGAAACGGCGTAAAGACCGCAAAAAGCGTGGTTGGAGGTGTCACGCCACGCAAGCGGCGCCCCGCACGTCGCAGCAGCTCCTCGTTCGTCAGGAAGACACAGCTGCCCTCATTGACCCCGGGATCCAGCCACCCAATCGAGCGGGTGACCGCCAGCAGTTTCCTCGAACCTTCCACACAAACATCAGCCCCCAACTCGGCGAGCAGCTGATTGATGACCACCCCACCTTTGCTGAAGGCTAGGATATGAAAAGATGAGAAAAACTCATCTTCGGAGATGTTCAAGGTCCTTGACAAATCCTGAAGCAGCATCAAGAGATGCAAACTGCAAGACCCTTCCGGGTCATATTCGCCATCCAACGGATCACCATTCAAATTCGTCGTCAGAAAGTGATCATAGCAGCTAAACCCTTGTCGCATCCGTGAGGGCCGCACCAACACCACTCGCATGGAAACAGGGCACCGCTTGGCCAAGAGTTCACAGATGGCCTCTGTATTCCACTCCAGCCACTCTCGCGACTCCTCATCGGCCTTCATCTCTTCTCGCCCAGCAGAAATATCTCCAGGAAAGAAGACGATGGTACCTTGTGGCCGTCCACGGATGACGACGTCCACTGTATTTCTTTGCCCCTCCGCACCGGTGGCACACAGCGTCTGCACCCTCATGCGGAAAAGTCACAGTTTGAGAGCTGTGGCACGACATGCGCCATGCATGTAGTGACTGTGGGCATGTCTCAAGTGGAGTGCGCGTCCACCCACCATGTAGATCGGTTTACTTTGCCTTTCAGTTGGCAGAAACCTAAGGATCCCTCAACACGTTAGGAACTAAACTCAGTTTTGTGCAGCCGGCTTCACACTACGTCAAGAGATTATTGCCAGACTCGATGCTTCCTAATGGTTCTGCAACTACTGTGATTTCATGATGCTGAGTGGCTTGCATCAGCTGCACCAGAATAAAAACAATTAGCTGCTGCTCCAAACTGCAATCTGGAACTGTTCGTACATCAGATCGTTCAGAACAACTTTTCTTACCACATCAGGGCGTTTCTGTACAGATGACGGGAATCAAGACACCCAACACATGAGGGTGCCAGGAAAGAATTGCCATTTTGGGCCTCTTTCCACCTCAAACCACAGCAGTATCTATGGAAGACATGCCAGACATGTCAGCCCTCTCCCCCCACAACGTTCTCGCATCAACAGCACACAAACACCCAAAAGACAGTCTTTTCCTATCAAAACAGTGGTCAAATGGGTTCCAGGTGTGTATATATGTATATATATATATATATATCAGCTAGGGATTGTGGAAGGAGGTCCTCTCAAATCGCTCTATCACATTCCAGATATCTTCGAGCCGGGCCCCCTTTGGGGCTCCTCGGACCCTCAACGTCCAAAGCCGCCACCGCCCATCCTGTGGAGGGCGGAGTCAAATTGGAAGGTTCAATAGTTCATATTACCCCATGTGGTTCTCCGATGGTTCCGATATGGTTCCGATCCGTTTTATATATTTAATGAATGCCTCAGGCATGTTTGTGAATGCCTCATGCATCGGGCATCTCTTCAGCATCTTCAGCATCTCTTCAGCTCGTTCGGAGAAATTCATCCCTCAACATCGCTCTGATGGCTCTGTGGACAGATACGGCTTTTTGAAGCCTGGAATAGACCATTTACAAAGCTTGTTGTTTTATGGTTGTCTTTTTTCGCAAACACCGTGTTCGATTGTTCGCAGAAACCACCTGATCTCGCCCATCCGTCTGCAGCCAAAGTTCATCTGCTGCAATTGTGCCATGGCCTGTGGGTTCTGCATCATCTGTTGCACCTATTCCGACAGAGTTGGACCAACGATCAACAACAACAACAACAAGATACAACAAGTGTTTCTGAAAGCCTGCCGCCAGAAGAACCGTCAGTTGCCTTTGAAGATGTCTGAAGAAACCCTTAATGGCCCTAGTGACATGCAAATCATCCATACCAGCGTACTGAGCTGGTTTCATGTGGCAGCAGCGGCTGCATCATGTAGGCACACATGTTCTGAGCGGTTTGTAGGCCTGAGACATCATGTTGGGATCTTGCATCATCTGCTGTGCCTGACACAGGCTCCGCGCAGTTTTTGGAGAGCAACGAGGCCAGATCCCGTGACAGACAGCCTGCCTGCTGCATCATCTGCGGGTTGTTCATCATCTGGGCAGGGTCTCTTAGCACCATTGAGAGCAGACTTGAATTACCAGGCGTGTCGAAAATCTTGAAGTGCCTTAACAATTTGGACAAAGACAAAAATCACTGGACACCTTTCCTAAGGATCTTGTCCTTGTTGTGTCACCTACGTCGTTTTGATGGACAATGTCGTTCCAAAGTTCCGCAACACATGTGGTCACTTGAGAGATGTGTCGTTCAACGGCAAAATAGTTCGATTGCGATGGTCATCAACGGTTCCTGAGTCTCACCTGTGACTTCTTCCGCACATCCAGTACTCATTCGTGTCCCCTATGAAGTTGAAATACACTCCATACAAACCCTAGATGTGGTCACATTGATTGACACCAAGCTACCCCGGCTGTTCACCAAGTTTCAGTGTTCCTCGTGATAGAGATGGATGTACAAATATGTGTGTAGATATATATATATATACACATACACGCAAAGCTTCAAATCAGCATGTGATCCGTTCTGGCCCACAGGAGTTCAGGAGTTGTGAATCAGAAATTCCCGCCTATCTCTGTAAGAAAAGAAAGATACCACGTAGATGAACCCCCCTGGCCCCAGCTCTGCCTGCTGCATCATTGGATTGTTGGCCATTCCAGGCGGCAAACCCCCAGGCAGGCCACCCAGCCCAGGGAAGCCCCCAGGGCTGGGCATGCCTGCAGTGTAGGAAGTTCTTCCTTCACCCAGCTAGGCAAGGACATCGCATCGATGGAGGTCGGCTAGGTCACTCAGCTAGGCAGGAGGCGAGCCAAGCATATCCTGTGTCAACGGACCGTCTAGCATCTAGGTCTCAGCCTTGCCCATGTCTCACGTCCTACACACGTCTCCACCCTGAGTGCCCCGCCTCCGTAGCCTCCAGGTGAGGGTGACCTAAACGACGTGAATTGGTCCGCTCGGAAAGGCTGCTAGGACAGCTTTGCCTCCCTAACTCAGGACACGAGTGTATTGAGAATTGATAAGGCAGCTCCCTATCTTTGAAAAAAAACATGGACAAATATCGAAAATATACGCACTAATTTTATTACTAATTCATCTTGTCAGCTACTATTCTTCGGTGGCATACTATAGCCAACACATGCACCTGTCAGCTAATCCTATGCCAAGTGCATCTCAAGAAAAAATCCGAAGCCACAAGTGAAGGGGAAGTTCTGTCCCACGGTTCTTGGGTGTCTTGTCTTCATCTCCTCTTTATCCATCTACAAACCGCTCTGGTACTGCAGACCACTAAGCCCCCAGACGGAACAGGCGCTGGCACGGGTGCAGGCGCCGGAGTCGGAGGGGCTGGCCTTGGAGGGAAACCACATCTGGATGGGGCTCAAAGCACAAGAACCATAGGAACCAGGGACTCGTCGGGCCTAGTCTATATAAATATATAATACTATGTGTATATATATATAATATATGTATTTATACACTGGGGTGCCGAAAGTTGCGTTTCTTAACTTCTAAAACAAGACAAACCCTTTCCCCTTAGAATCCTACGTGCAACATGTCGACACCTAACTTGCGGTCAGATTTCCACGCCTGAAAGCCTTACAAGTATTAAACTTTAAACGGGTGTGGAAAGCTGACCTGCTGTACCTGTCAGGCAAAATGGACGTGTCAATCCGATCCGCTGTAGACCGCAAGTGTCATGTTAGCGTAAATTTTAGGGTTCTTGAAGTATGTTTTAATTCCTTTATCAATGAATTTGGTTGGTACCCTTTTTTTGAGCCATAGCCATTGAAACATGGCCATCACAGCATTCACGCGTCGGTGGGACATGTGGGGACCAGATCCAGCACGTCCAGCGCTTCACATCATTGCTTGAAGAACCTCATCGTGTTTTCCAAGTAGTGCTCGAAAGCAAACCCATGGCAGGCTCTTCGGAACTTTCTTGCCCGCAGTTCTCACAGCTCATGATGGCCAGGTTTCCCAGCAGCTTCTTGAGCTCTTCAGAGAGGCGCTTGGACACGGACGCCTGCATCCTCAGCGTGTCATGCAAGAAACTCACGGTGCGCCATGGTGGGGAAGTGTGTGTGTGTGTAAACCTTGGAATCATAGATCCTTTTGGATTTTGTTTCACAGCAGGGGGGTTGTTCATGCAAGTACCAGCCCAACGAAGAGGCTTGCATTGAACACTGATATCGGTGGGGACGCTCACCGACGTACCTGCACTTTTTCCAGCACTTTTTCCAACATTTCCGCATGGCAAGAGGCTAAGCCAAGAACCTCATTCCGCAGACTTGCACGCCACGACGTCATCTTGTCGGTTCGTCGATCGTTCTTTTCCGTTTGGGCCCTACTTCCTCTTGAAGACCACCAGGATCCAGTGGTTCGTACATGTACCCTTAGGAATTGGAACCCTAGGCCGGCGTGTGGCACCGCTTTCAGTTCAGTACACCCTATCCTAAGTGTGTTTGGCCTCGTGCCAACCCGGGATGAGCCCGCGACCCGTCGAACGGGTGTATGTCCAACGTATCCCCTGCCCGGATACAGAGCAGCTCGCAGCGAGCGTAGGTGGCCTAGGCCGTACGTACGATGATTTTTGTCCCATCTTTGGAATTCCAAGTTGGCCCATGCCTATACGTGACCGCAGCGGTCAGAGGTGGCAACCCTCGGGCAAGCCGTACGTGGTCGCAGCGACCGAAGTCTGTTCAAGGTTCATTGGAACCTGTTGCGAGCTTAGTCCCCCTGCTTCCCCTTCCCTCCCCTTTCTTTCCTTGCTTTTTGAGGTTTTCCTGAATGGAAGACTCAGGATCACCCCTTTCTTTCTTTGGTGTGTCCCTGGACGATTGTTCGTAGCTGGGAACACCTGCCTTTTCTTTTTTTTCTCCTCTCCCTTTCTCTCCCTCTCTCTTTCTTTCTTTCTCTCTTTTCTCTCCACCTTCCCTCCTCCTTGGGTGTCCCTGGATGCTTTTGTCATAGCTGGGAACCCTTCTCCGCTCTTCTTTTGGTGTGTCCTTGGACGCTTGCGTCGTAGCTGGGAACACCTTCCTTCCTCCTCTTTCCTTTTTCTCGTCTCTCCCTACCCCTCCCTCCTGTCGGGACCTTAGCTTGGGTTGCTACTAGGGGCTCCTGGCCTTCCTACTAGGTGCTAGGTCGCTACTTTGACGCTACTAGAGGTTCCTGGAAATGCTACTACTTTATCCGCACCTTTTGGCGCGGAGCTTAAAACATGCCTCCCTTCGGGGAGGCGTGTGTGTGTAACCCTTGGAGTCATAGGGGTCCTTTTGGATTTTGTTTCACAGCAGGGGGGCTGGTTGTTCATGCAAGTACCAGCCCAACGAAGAGGCTTGCATTGAACACTGATATCGGTGGGGACGCTCACCGACGTACCTGCACTTTTTCCAGCACTTTTTCCAACATTTCCGCATGGCAAGAGGCTAAGCCAAGAACCTCATTCCGCAGACTTGCACGCCACGACGTCATCTTGTCGGTTCGTCGATCGTTCTTTTCCTTTTGGGCCCTACTTCCTCTTGAAGACCACCAGGATCCAGTGGTTCGTACATGTACCCTTAGGAATTGGAACCCTAGGCCGGCGTGTGGCACCGCTTTCAGTTCAGTACACCCTATCCTAAGTGTGTGTGTGTGTGTTGGGTTTTCAAGAAATGGGACTGACTGACCCT